AGATTTGAGACTAGTCTCCCATTCTCCTCAGTTGAACTGGCTTTCTGTGCAGTGAGCAACAAGATCTGAACTGAACCTCTGGTGTTTTAGTAACAAGATAGACTTGGAGAAGCCATATTTCTTACATAAGGCAATTTTAAACTATAGCTATTTTTCTTTTTGGCGAGAGTTCATTTTCTCTTACCACTTATAGTTTACCCAGATCAAGGAAAGGTCCTCTGTATCCAGCTGTCCCAAAGCCAGCTCAAACACATTCTGTTCAAAATGGGCTTATCTTCTCAAAGGCAATTTTTGTTTGAAGTCTTCCTGTTTGTCAGTGCACCGTGATTATCCCAACCAACCAGACCCAAGGTTCTTGACTTTGTTTTTCTTCTCCTTCAACTAGTGAACTGAAAGTCAACAAGTAACTGAGTCCTACCAAGTTTTTAGTTTTGCAGCTATTTATCGGGTACCATCTATGTGATAGGCACTGGAGATGCAATGATAAATAAGATAAACCATGTTGCCAAAGAGCTCATAATCAAGCACCATTTTCTTGATATTTTCACAGCTATCATTGATGTAGGCGCTTACAATCCTGTAGTCACTTTACTACAACCACCTCTCGCTCTGATTTCTTTAGACAACTCACTCCCTCTGAACGCTCCCACTTGCATAACATGACACTAACCAAATACTTTCCCTAGAACAATATATTCATCTTGTCATTCTCTTGCTAGTAATATTCCTGTTGGGCTCCTGGTATCTGCAGAACATCTGGGGATTTTACTCTGAGAATCAGCCCTGCGCATTTTAAAATTAGCTTTAGCCCAATGCTGCCCCCTTGCATATTTTGAGTTTGACCTAGAAGTTTCTCTGTGCCTTTTCACTTGGTGAGGGGCCGCCTAGCTGGATGTGTAAACAGACTGTAACTTTCTCTTGTGCCAATCGCCCAGGAATGGCCAATCAAATGTGGTCAATTGTCCAAACAGGGCTCAAATAAGGCAAACGCTGAGCTGTGACCAATCAGACTGTTTCTGTACCTCACTTCAGTTTTCTCGATGCCACTTTCTTTTTTCTGTCCATCAAGCTTCTTCAACCACGAGGCACTGGAGTCTCCGAGCCTCCTCTGGTTCGGAAGGCTTATCAGTGATTGGCTTATCGTTCTTTGCTGAATTAAACTCTGTTCTATCTGATTTGTCTTTCATTTTTTTCTTTTCTTAAACAGCATCGTCAGATGTTTCTCCTTCTGCCTATACTTATTCCCTTTATCTCAAGCGCCTAGTAGTACAAGTTCATTGCTCTCCCCTTAGTTGGCCTTGAAACTTGCCAGCCTTTATTCCTGATCACATCACTCCCAAATTGGTCTCTCCCTCCCTTTTCACCCCCACCAGAGATTCAGCTCAAGTCTTGCTTTTTTCCACGAAATGTTTCTAGAATTATATCCCACAGTGATCTTGCATTAATATATCACAGCATTTGTCTAAATCACTCATTCTGACAATCATAAATATTCATGTTTTTATGTCTTGTTTTGCTAACTGACTATAAATTCTTTGAGGTAAGAAAACCTTGCTTTCAGGCATCCATTTATTTAATATATATTTATTGAGTGCCTGTTTTGGGCCCAACACTGTACTAAAGGCATTAAAAAGGGTTACAGGGCTTTGACTTTGCAAATCCTAAACAAACATTTGCTGTGGAATAAATTTTACCCTTTTTGCTAGCAAGTAGCCTATTTATTTAGAAAAATAACTTCTAAGCTCTCTTATTGTTAGATCATTTGACCATAGAGGTCTTATAATTTTCAAATAGTCCCAGTGCCAACTGTTGGACGTTTCAATAATCAGGTTGCAGATGGGTTTAGAATATCTTCACCTGTTCATATTTTTCAGAATTTGATGTAACTTTTATAATTGCTGCTAAAAAATATTATCACAATTTTAAGACTCTCATTTTACTTTCCTTCCATTTGGTATAAAATACCCCCAATAAATCAAATGGAAAATTATTTAGCTACTTGACATCAATAATAACAGGGGACATACCTCTAAAAAAAAGTTAGAGACTTCTGAGATTTGGTAAGCTATATCAGTAAAAATTTAGGAAAGTGAAGATTTACTATGATTTCATTGTACAGACTTCTGCTGAGGGTGTATATAATTTAGTTTATAAATATGCCCATAAAAAGAACATTACAATATAGTAAATACTCAAGTAAATACATAAATGTTACCATGCCTGTTCCCTTGAATGACAATAAACAATAAGTATTATAGCACCAGATGTTTACTTAGATTAGTCCTGAAGGCATGGATAGGCCATTGGGTACTCAGCATGTTTACTAATGCATTTTATTTTTTTGAGATGGGGTCTCACTCTGTGGCCCAGGCTGGAGTGCAGTGGCACAATCACATCTCATGGCTCACCACAGTCTCATCCTCCTGGGCTCGGTGATCCTTCCCTGAGTAGTTGGCATTATAGGTGCACACCACCAAAGCCAGCTAATTTTTTATTTTTATTTTTTGTAGAGACGAGGCCTCACTCTGTTGCCCAGGCTGGTCTTGGACTTCTGGCCTCAAGCAATCCTCCTGCCTCGGCCTCCCAAAGTGCTGGGATTACAGGCGTGAGCCTCCGCGCCCAGTCCTGATACATTTTTTAACACTAAGATGGTACAAAGGTAGGAATGGCTCTACTCTGTCCACATCCCATCTAGCTATACAGCTTCTATCCATCATAAGCTGTAGCAGCGATTCTCATGCACGTTTAGATTTGAAGAGACTGCTGAATTTTGTTTAAAAAAAAAAAGGAAAAAAATGAGCAAAAGAAAAACCTTTAAAAGAGAATATATTTTAAAAATTTAGCCAGACATTGTGTGTAAAAATTTGCAGAGGTAACTTAATGCTCTGAATGATTAAGGTTACCTTCCTTTAGAAAGGATTTACTTTTGCTTCCACCAAGCACCTACACTAAGGGTGGATCTAAATCCAACTCAGGATGGAAATAATTCAAATCTGGGCTTTAGTCCTTTTGAGAACTGGTTTTTCTGTGGATTGCTGGAAGCTCTGCTCAGCTTCTCTGCCTCTCAGCCATGCCTTTGCTTTTATATTCAGAAAGTTCCTTGTGAGAGAAAGCAGCCCCAAATGTTCGGCTCACCTCCCTTGTGTTCCCTCATAGTCCAGGTTTTGGTTCGCTTAATTCTCCCGACCTCGGTAGTTCGCCAATGCCCTCAAACAGGTGTAGAGTATACTTGGTCTTCTCTGCATTATTCTTAAGAGGCTTGGTCTGAATCAACTTAACAATCAGAAGCTGAAGCTCCTATATTCCCACTTTGATTATTGCTGTTACGACTCATCTATTTTTATAGCAAATTGTCTTGGATTGATCCTTAATAGCTTGATACCTCAATATCTCCCTCTTCCTTTTTTGCATAAGTAGAAAAGACTCTTAGAATCAGACTCTTACCACTTGTTGACCCTGTGCTCATTCAGGTTATGATTATGCAACTTTCTCTCTGGTCTTTTTTCTGCCACTAGAATCTTTCAAATTCCGTCTTGAGTAGAATTGTGCAGCATAAGATACTCCAGAAATGAAATACTTAAGCAGAAAGTCCCTTTCCAGTCTCCCATCTTGAAAGGCCAGATAGGAAAGATGCTTAAAGGGAATCCATAGTAAGTCATGGCATCCATGAGTCTACTAAGTAGAGGAAGATACTCACTTTTAGCCTTGACCCAATCAGGAAGCTACTCATTCACTTAGTGCTGTTAACCAGAACCCCTCCCCTAATGGCCACAGAATCATAGGCAGTTGGTCCAACAATACTGGCATATTCTGACTAAAGGAAGGGCAGACAGTGGTTATCCTCCCTCTAGTGGGTAGACACTTGTATGTCATGACTTACTGTGGGATGCCATTAAGCATCCTTCCTATCTGGCATTTCAGGGTGGGAGGCTGGAAAGAGAATTTCTGTTTAGCTGTTTCATTTCTAGAATATTTTATGCTACAAAATTCTACTACAGCACGATGCAAGCAAAAAGAACTGCCTTCTCTCTCTCTCTCTCTCTCTCTCTCTCTCTCTCTCTCACACACACACACACACACACACACACACGCACAAAGAGAACCAAACAGCAGCTATTTCTGAGAGCATTTTAGTGGAAAGCAGGATCTTTTTATTAAGATTTTTATAATACAAAAGTAAAGATACACGTCTCTGGATTGTAATAGAATAAATTTGCCACAGGACAAAAGTGGTGTGGGATGTACAGCCAGGAATCAGAATGTGGGCAAAACAAAAACAAAAACAAATCAACTCAACAAACAAAAGCCTGAGCAATCTAGACGAAGCAAGCACAGGGACAACTGACCTAGTTCTATGATATGTGGAGGTTAATAGGGAAAAAGAGTTCCAGATAAATATTGATGCACCTCCAAAGCATATTGCTTTAACTCAATGCATTTCTGTCTGGTTGGGCTACAAATTCTCCACATGGCTAGCCTTGCAACAGTCAACAGATAACCTGGTTTTGCCAGGGTGACAGTTCTTCCATAGCTTATTGCTTAGAGTGACACACACCACTGAATGTCACTTGTGTATAAAAGCTAACGAGGAGAAACTGGAAGAACAAATGCAGACAGCAAAACCATTTTGTTCTAAAATGATGGGATTATGGTTTATGTTTGCCAAACATTCCCTGATACTATTGTATTTACAAAATAAATAAATGCCAAGTATAAATAGTAGGGGAAAAGGCAGCATCTTTAAAACATAATTTAAAAAATAAAAGCTTTCCTTTGATTTTGGGATTTTTGTAATTAATTCCAGTAACATAATTACACATTTCTGTACAAGAGATAGGGTGGAGTGCCGTGTGCCTCATGAGAGGGTCTTGGAATTCAATCATTCGGATTGCCAGCTGGTCCCTTTTACTTTTCTTTTTCAACAGCATGTTGCTTATGTTTCTAAAAAGCAAATGAACCAGACATTTTAAAAATCTCATATTATTTATGAAAAAAATTACCTAAAATTTGCATATTCTTCTGCTTGTCGTTTCCATGGACAGCTCTGTATATTGGTGATAATCTGAAGGTAGTCATCCTCTGAATACCTAAAAGTTAAATGTCAATAAATTAGAAAATAATGATCTCACATATATGAATCTTCTTAGAGGATACTTTTGTAATCTATTTACTTTAGTTCTCTAAATCTTTTCTGAAGTAAAATAGAAGTAACTACAATAGTACTTGTTTCAAAACACCTAGAAAATACGATTTGCAAATAATTATTATGTTGGTTTAGGGATTTGTAATCTGCACGTATCATAAACCAAGTATATATTATAAACCATGATATCATACCAACTCACCTATGTACCTTATGAGCATTTCACCTTAGCCTTAACTCACTGACAAATAAATATACACTTGAAAAATGTTTACCCTAAATATGTAGTTTGTCATTTTTTTTTCAGGCTCTAAGAACATAGATTTACCTTGGAATGTATAGACACAATTTATTCAAAATAATCATCTTAGGTTTTAACTTAAGTACATTCAAAAACCAGGTTGGAGTAAGTTAAGACAGACGTATAGTGATATAAAAATCTACAGACACGGTGGTATAGTTTAAGAAGCACTGAGCTGTCCCCATCCCCAACAGATCTCTGGTTGTGTGAAATTCCACCACTAAGTATTATTAATTCCTTAAACACAGAATACCCTTTAGTCTTTAAGTATTCTCATTTGAAATGCAAATATCCCTTTGAATGAGAAAACCCTTACATTCTGTTTCAATCAATAACTTAGTCATTAGATGCCACCTATTAGATATCAAGGCTCTACAATGAGATAGAGTATATATTGGTAAGGTAGCCTTGTCAGGAAACATTACTCCTTTACCCACATACAGTAAAAATGCAGACCCTCCAAAGTTTAGCTCTCAGTGAAAATATTTCTTACGGGTGGGGAATGTAGTTACCCAAGCAACCCCTTTGCCGCTGAAATTTACCTTCTTTTTGGGTTTCTTTCACTTCAGTGATGGTGCCAACATGAATGAAAAATATTTTCCCTTATTTCCTACAGTCCCAGATGAGAAAAGCTGGAAATCTCAAAATGCTTTACTAAATATCAAAGGGGAAGCAAAGCAGAGAGCTGCCATAGGAGGGATTAAAATTAGTTTTGTTTGCACACTTCCAGCCATAGCAGATTTGCCTCACCCACAGGGTCCTAGTGCTTGTCTTGGTATGCCAAACTACACCTCTGACCCCCAAACTTTGCCTAAATGTGATATTTCCTAGCTGAAGTGGATATTGTCTGTCTCCAAATGGCAGGAGACAGCCAGAGACCTTCTGCTAGATAGTGTTAACCCAAAAAGAAAAAGTACACACATATTAGCCTAAAGGCTCTCTCAATTTCTGGCTCTTTGAAATAGATGTAGCACCATGACTATTCTCACCTGTCTAGAGAGTCTTGTTTACACCAAAGCATGGCTTTAAATCACTTGATAATATTAAAAACAAGACAACAATCAGCACACTATGTGTGCTATGTGTCCATGAGACAAAGTAAAAAATAATTGTTTTCTCACCAAGTTCAACTAGAGAGAAATTGGAAAGGGAAAGGCCAAATATAAATATTTTATCTAAATAAATCAATAAGGATTCCTAGTATATTTTAAGTCATCAGGATAAAACATTGCATAAGAAGTATAGTAAGTGAAAACTTGCCATCCTATCATGAAAATTAAATGTGTCAGAGTTAAATTTTATTTAAATGTCATTTATTAGATGAAAAAGAAATTAAATTTCTCATAATGTACAGCTAAGATAATGAGAATAGTGAACTTGAAGACACTGTAATAGAAACTACTGGAAATGAAATACAAAAGGAAGACCGCATGAAAAATGAACAGAGAATCAGTCAGCTGTAAGACAACCTCAAGTGGCCTAATGTATGCATCATTATAGTCCTAGCCAGAGAGAAGAGACACAAATATATATATTTGAAGAAACTGTGGTGGAAAAATATTTCCAAATTTAACAAAAATGATAAACTCACAGATCCAAGAATCTCAACAAACTCAAAGCACAAGAAACAGGAAGGAGAGATACACTGTCCAGATACATTGAGCCTTATGGAGGCCTGCTGAAAAGGCCAAGTAAACCTTTGCTGCTCATGTGCCCCATCAACCAAAACTAATCTAGAGTAAGCCAAAGCTCGGGTTAAACCAAACTAGCATATAAGATCTAAACAGCAACTACTACCATGAAAAGTTAAAGGTGACTTTTGTTTCCACCAAGATTTTGTGCAAATGTTCCTGAGTACATGATACTTTTACTTTAGCTTACTTGAAAATCAGATTTTGTGAGCCATTTTGAAATCATTCTTGCCTGTATGTCAAGATTAGTATGGAACATTAAAATTGCCACCATGGTCAATTAGAATAAAGGCACATTGATGCATAGTCTTTAAAACATTTTGTTTTAAGCATCTCCCCATAAATTGTAGCTGGGCCCAACTTAACTTAATATTGAAAGATGTCAATCAAAATGTATCTAATCTTACTGGCAAGTTAGCTGGAAAAGATGGCTTTTGACTTCATAGACACTGATATGTAAAACCGAGTGAACCCATTATAGCAGACCCATCTATCATAAAGGAAGAAATACTCTGAGACTTTTACAATCAGAAGACAGTACTCAGGTTACTTATGCCCTGAGATTACTGTGTTCAAAGAATCATTTTTATATCCAGTCTAGAAATAAGGCATTATCCTCTGATGTTATAAAGGGGAAGACTTAAGAATAAGGAACAAAAAGGAAGTTTTTTTCCAAAATATTTCCCCTCTTATACTGAGAAATAAATCACCTACCAGCTTTCCTAGAAAATTAAGATTGCCATAGTATCATCACAGTTCTAAGACGGTAGCTTGGTTGCTGAAGAAAATCATTTGAGGAGGAAAAACTACATAAACGCTCCAAGTGTGGGCCACTTTGGCAGATAAGTGTGTCTTTGCAAAATCTGCTGTCAAGTAAAAAGTTCTAAATCACATCATCCTTTCTGTAAACTCATATTTATACTTGGGTTTCAGTTTACACAGCACAGCCCCACCCCAAAATCTTAAAATGCAGTTCTGCTTGTGATGTGACTTCCATTTTTCTGAATGACAAAACTCAAAGTTCAGGGAAGATAAATAGCTTGCTCAATATCACATTGTAAGTGGATGAGCTAGGAATTAAATTCATGTCTTTTGATTCAAATTCTGAGTCGTTCCAATATATCATTCTGCATCTCATCTATTTTCATAATGAAACTGAAAATTAATCCTATCAGAAACATTTTCTGGTCCCAAGACCTACAATAAATCACACTAAATAATGTAGCAAGTTATGTTCAAAGGAATAAATAATGTCTATTTAAATCATTATTAGTAATAGTCAAAATGAGCCACAAATTATAAATAACATGCTAAATGATTATAAATGTCTTATTAAACTTTTAAATATTTTTCCAGAAACGAGTCTTTGAAGATGAAGACCCATATGCTGTGGCTAGTTTTATCTCAATTAAGATATATATAGGGTTTTTCAAGCACTATAATTTATGGTTAATTAATTTAATCATTAAATATTTAGAGTAGTGCCCCTTATCCACGGTTTCATTTCCTTGGGTTTCAGTTACCCGTGGTGACCATGGTCCAAAAATATCAAATGGAAAATTCCAGAAAGCAACAATTCATAAGTTCTAAATTGTGCCCTGTTCTGAGCAACATGATGAAATCTTGAATTGTCTCATTCTGTTTTGCCTGGGACAGAAATCACCCCTTTGACCAGCATATCCATACTGTCTACACTACCTCCCTGCTAGTCACTTAGTAGCTATCTCAGTTATCAGATCAAATTAACATAGTATATATAAAGATCTATACTATTTGCCGTTTCAGACATGCACTGGGGGTCTTGAAACAGATCCCCTGTGGATAAGGGGAATTACTATATCGGGTGCTTATTAGATACCTAGAAGTTATCTTAGGAATATTCATGTATTAGTCCCATGTAAGCAGCTGAGATCGTGATTTAGTTTCCTATAACATCTCTTCAAGGTGAAAGTCAACGTTTTTCCATCCATTGAAATGGATGAGGATAACGCAGTAATATTGTCAACAGTTTTCTGAGTGATTGTTCTATGTAGATCAAAAAGTCTTTTGCAGTTAGTTTCTACTAAGCCCCTGAGGAGTTCAGCTCTACATGAAAATAAATTCTGCAAATGAATACAATGCTTCAAGATTTTTCATCAATACAACCAATCATTTCCACTGGGTGACATTTTTTTAAAGGAATGGCTAATGAGTGTATGAAAGTCAAGCAAAGAGAAGTGCGTGGCAAGTAGATGGAGCTGAGCCAGACAGTAGTACCAACATTCATCGGCTAAACATAGAAGGCTTCAATTTACATTGTTTTCAACTATGCTATGATGGTAACCTCTAATTAGGATGCTGTGAGTACTGTCAATTGGCATGGGAGAAAGGAATCTAAAACTTTTATTATCTCCATATCATTTTTTTTTGGAGTTAGAGTCTCACTCGGTTGCCCAGACTGGAGTGCAGTGGCACACTCACGGCCACCCCAGCGTTGACTTGCTGGGTTCAGGCAATCCTTCCGCCTCAGTCTTCCAGGTAGCCAAACTACAGGCCTGAGCTACCATGCCTGGCTAATTTTTGATATATTGTAGAAATGAGGTCTCACCAAGTTGCCTGGGCTGGTCTCAAACCTGCAAGCTCAGGCAATCCACTCGTCTTGGTCTCCCAAAGTGCTGGAATTACAGGCTGAGCCACCGAGTCCGGCTCCATATCTTTTAATGTCCTTCAGACAAGCTAAATAAATATTATAAAGCCACTTCAGAGATTACTCCTGAAGATTCCAATGTACTTCTTCACAGCCCCAGTGAAAGCTCCCAAGTTCTACCAATGCATTATTTGAAAAAGTCAGAGATTATTATTTTTTTTTAAGAAGGAGGTATTTTCTCTGTCCTAGAAAATTAACTTTTGAAGTATTAACCGTGTGCCATAGCTGTGAGTAGTGACTAATCTTAGTCAACCAAGAGGGAAACA